TTAAATCTTTCCTATTTCACACTTCTTTGATGGTAGTGTCCACTAAGCAAAGTTTCATTTGTTATAGCAACCCTGATTTTTCTTTTAGAATTGTGCGCCTAATCGACAGACATGCATTAACTTCGATTCCAATGAGGCCTTAAACGACTTAACCATCTCATCTGCCTTGTGACCCTCGAACAGCCGTTGCTGTGTAGTGGAGTCGCCATGACGGGGTGTCGAATCACGTTGTGGGTGCTGGGTCGAAACTGGAGTCCAGTCGGCCTTCATTTTGGGAAAACTCAACTAACATTCACTCTAAACGACCTCGGCTGACTAAGTTCTCGATAAAGAGCTGTTAAGAGCTTCCAGAGCTACTTTAGACAAATAAAAGACTGTATTCGTTATTGGGTAGTTTTTCGAGACTTCCAATGAATCATATATATGAGTTGTGTTCACCCTATTTCGTTTACGGTGCTGGTAGCCGAATTTTCACACAATCATGTGTGTAGAGTTGACGTTTCCATTCAATTTCGCACAGACTTGCTTTCCAAAAAAGTGTTCTCGTTCAGGATGAACGGCAGGTCATATCAACACCCCCAGCGGGAGTCGAAATTTATTCGAAACGTAAGCTCTACTCATACCATTGTGGGAAAATTAAACTAACGGTCCTTCATCACTATAAACAAATAGGGTGGACACAACTTAAATAAAAGTCTGTAACCAAAGTTTCGTCAAGGCGTCGCAGTTAGACAACTTATAAATTCAAGTCTCAGAACGTTTGCACTATCTCATTTAATGCCCAAATATTTAGATTGGTGATATTTTCCCGATTTACTGCATTATTTTTTATTGATAAAAACTCAATTGTCGGTTTTGTTGTATATTAGGGGACGAAAAACTGACATTTCCCAACCTCTAACGCAGCCAAAATGCATTATTTCGGATTACTTTAAACGAACTTGTCAACCCTTACACAATCGCCCCTCACCCCTTCCCCCTTAAGAATCGGCTCTCGACCAAGTCTGCAATGCCGTTGCCAAGGTTTTCATGCCGCAACGACTGTCGGTTGTCCGAAAAATCTCGCATGGCGACAAATAGTCAAGGTGAGCAGGTGACTGGATCCGAATCGCATTCTGCCGAAGGGCTGAACTCGAAGAGGCACCCGTCCCCATGCGTCCGGCTGACGCCCAGGCCCCGGGTCGGCCAGCTTCCCGGTCGCCTCTTCCGGCCCTGCTGTATGACCTGGCGGTACGTCTGTGCCGAGTGCCGGCGCGAATTGCCCACTCGGCGCAGCCTCATTCGACACACTCGCGCCTGCCCTCGAGCGGGCCGGGACTCGAACTCACCGCACCGAAGCAATGCCGGCGAGCCGATCGCCTCCCCGAGACCCCTGCGCTTCGGGCGCCCGCAACCGAT